TCGGCTGGTAAGGTTATGGCCACCAGCGACTATTAAAAAAAAAAAAAAAAAAAAAAAAAAAAAAAAAAAAAAAAAAATCACTCTGAAGAAATGTTCAACGAATAAAGAGGTGATCGTTAAAACCGAGGCCAACGTTGAAGGGTCGCTCTAATCAGTGTATTTGTCTCGACGGGTACTATGTGGAACAGAAAAAATTGAATTGTGTTTTACTATGATAGGCCGGATATTGACCTTTTATTTTGTAGGGTCTCCGACGTTTTCTACTGGGTATTATAAACTTTTTGGCAAACTTAATATACGCTGGTTGGGTTATAAACACGCTCAGGGCAGGAAATTCGAAAATAATTGAATGCGCCCGAACAAATTGGTTTTATCAAAAACTGGAATTTAGGTATCTTTTATACTTTATGCTTTTCTTCGTGGACTAAGTATCGGAGAAATAGAAAGTACTTACACCCTCTTTCATTGATCTCCTAAGAAATTGTTTTACAAGGCTTGGTGAAAATTTCACGACGCTGGAAAGAACTGTAAGGAAGCTGTCATTCATCCTCTGAAGAAGAAAATGTAGAGCAAACACACAGACAGCGAGAGAGAGAGAGAGAGAGAGAGCGAGAGAGAGAGAGAGAGAAGCTTAAAAGTAATCGTTCTTAGTAGGAGTACAGAGAATAAATTATGTTTTTCCAGAAGTTGGAATTGAAGGCCTTTGCACTGTCTTTCATTGATCTACTAATAAATTATCTTATAAGAGCTTGATGAGAATTTTATAACGGTAGAAAGAATTGTTCGGAAAAACTTTATCCGGTGAAGAGCAAATATAAAACAAAAAGAGACGAAGAGACAAAGGAAGATTATCAAGCAGTAACTAGACACCGTGAGTGGAATTTCGAGTTCATTCTTGAAGATATAAGCAGTTGAGACACCAATTACGAGAAAGGTATTTATACAATAACTAAACTACGTGAGTGGAATCTCAAGTGTACTCTTCAAGAAATAAGCAACTGAGACAACAATTACCTGTTTTGAGGCACGGTTGATATGGTGAAAGTTTTAACGGATAACAAATAAAAACTGTAGGAAGAGAAAGAGCCAGCAGAGAAACTTTTTTCAAGTCTTAGAGAATTTCAACGCAACGCACATATTTTTCTCCTGACTTCAACTTGACCCTTACGTAAGGCCATTATATGTTTCAACCCACTCTATACACACGCGTCGCATTTTGCAAGCTACGTGATTAGTTTAGTCTTGTATGCGCTCAAATAGCTTAACGTCTTACTCAAATTCCGAAATAATCCAACGTCGTCTAGTTGCCTACTACACTTCACGAATATCTCCACACTTTTGTATGCAAGGAGACAACTTAGTTGGTACTCCATCAACTTCACAGCTCAATATCATGTGACCCGAATCCATTATTCAATATCCTCAGTCCTAAGCAAACTAACGGACTGTACTCGTGTATGCATGTGTGTGTGTGTTTGTTGATGCAAGTTAAATTCCCACTCGTTTTCATAAGCAAATGAAGTGAAATTAATTGAAGGTATAAAGACGACCAACTTGCATGCAACCCACATAGCCGATGAGCTTAGCAGGATATTTGTACAGCAGGCGGTGAAACCGCTGTCTCAGACGAATACGCGCACGAATTCAAAGTGATGGATTGATGAATGACGGAGAGGTTGTACCATGTGTATTGAGGTACAGCAGTGAACTTAACTTTGTGTGGATTTATAGATATGTGGTATAGTTGTATATGAATTAGAGTGGCATTTACGGAATTAGAATGGGAATATCTTTCAGCTTCATCTTTTCATTTCTGTTAAGATAACTTATATGAATTTCGGTCACGGTTGAAGACAGAGTTCATTGTTTGAAAATAAGAGGTTGTAAAAATGTCTGATTGCAAGTAGAAGTCCCTAAGTCATCACTAGCACACAATACGTCGAACTATATTGCGTCTAATGACATTGCGAGCCGTGGAAGATATCTCACGTCAAGCGGCTGAATGCTGGGCAGTCGCAAAGGTTATTTTCGTACCCTTTATCATCTTTGGTCTATTCGCCTTATATGTACATGAGGGTAGAGTTTGCATATAATTGCAGAATGCCAGATGTACACGGACATTAAAGATCTAAGTGGGAATTAGCTGGACTGATGGACGTTTAGATGTTAGCGGTGTGATCCCCACTAACCAAAATTACGAACAGTTAGGGTTGTTTCCGCATGAGTAGTTTAAACGACGAAGGCGTTTAGCTGGAACTTATGGTTAGCGGAGACTTAGTTCTGGTACCACAAAGGAGCAGAAGACCTTGGAGTTCGCTTCAAACTGCCCAGTGGTCTGGCTGGGAAGAACAGACACTTTGTCAGATGAATGTGGAGTTTCAGTGCATTCGGGTGCCGGACCCAAAATACGGCAAAGGTTTTAGATGGGTTTCGAATCCTTCCAAAGTGATTAGTGTGTCTATTCCACGCCGCCAATTGGTACTGAAAATACCAGAGGGTGCTGGTCAATGCCTTGATTTGATCCACTGTGCTCTTGAGCGCCGTGGGGTAAGTCTGTCGTCGGCAGGTACCCATGTTAAACACATCGGACGTTGCTCCTTATATCGCTGATTCCATTTTACCAAGTTCCTGAAGATGAGATCACACAGGTAGATGCCCGGTGATGATCCTAACCATATATAGAAACCGTCTTGACTGTCCACTATGCACATTACCCATAGTAGCTCTGTGGTATGCGCTCTATTTGAGGTGGTTCAAGCCGAAAAAGTGAAATGACAGACTTTTCATGGCGAAACCTTATTAAATTTCTACGTGAGGCCTTCGACTGCCTTGCAGAGGTGAAGGTTTAGAGAATATAGTGTATAAAGCTTCTTTATATACCGTATATGAATAAGAACCACCCTAATATACCGATATCTACATGCCACCAGCTATTTACACACTATCTCGAAAGCTTATGTGAATGCATGTTATAAATTGTGAGGCTTCTTAAAACTTCTGCTGCTAACCACACACATACTACAAATACATACGCACATACATAAWTACCAATTTTACTTATACACTATAAATTAGCTAAGAGCTTAGTTCACGGTGTTACTTACTTACATTAAATATTAATCTATTTACTTGACTACAATCAGCACACACTCAGTTATATACACACATACACACTACCTCACACACACCCATTCAAAGCTGTACACAGTCTGTGCCAAACTCCCTTATCTATCTACTGCGGCTACCGCTGCGACTTGACGAGCTGCGACGTTTAATAATCGCCAACAGACCGGATGAGCTCGTATCCGACGCYTGTTGCTTGACTTTCGTTTTCGTAATTTCCAGTTGCTGCTACATGCTCGGATTCCAATTGGTCGTAGTCGAGTATTGGCAAGTGAGCACCTTCTTGAAGGCCTTACGAAACACCTCGTTGAAGGTGGTGTAGAAGATGGGATTCACCATGGACGAGGCATAGCCCAGCCAGGTGACTACATCGAAGACCCAGTGCGCTATACGATTCTCACAATCACCGCATATTGTCGGCAGCAAATTGAGCACAAAGAATGGTGACCAAAGTATGACGAACGTGAAGCACCTGTCTCTTATACACATCTAGATGTGTATAAGAGACAGCCGCATATTGTCGGCAGCAAATTGAGCACAAAGAATGGTGACCAAAGTATGACGAACGTGAAGAATACCACACCCAGCACTTTGGTCGCCTTCTGTTCGAGTTTAATAATACGGCCGTGTCTTGAGGAGTTGCGTGAAATCACGCTAGAGTTACGTGAATGATGTGAGCGTACGGTTTGGTTGCGTTGCAGTAGGCATGGTGAAGAATGTGGTGTGCTGGATTTTGTACGCAATCGGCCCGCCTCGACGACATTCACTGTACCATCACAGGCCGTTGAAACTTGTAGATAATTCATGTTGTTGTGACTGCGTAGCGTGGCGGAACGGCGTAGCGGTGTTGCTGAGGAGGAGCTCGTGAGTACCGTGCCGGTTTTGGTTGGTGTCACCAGCAGCGTTGTGCGTGCACTGCCGAAGCTAGAACCGCGTCTGCGATGACGACTCGCATCCCARGTGATAACCGATGCAGTTTTCGAAATACTGAGTTTACGCCGGCCGGGGCACGGTGTACCCGGCTGAGCTGCGACACTCAAGTAACTACTCGGCGTGCTGCCATCACTGGAGTGTACAGTTAGTGAACTAGCACTGTGTTTGTTGTTCATGCGTTCCGCTGTGTTGGGACTCAGATGTGTAACAGCGTTGCCGTTACCACTGCTATTGCTAGTAACCAATATGCTAGTCAATTCTTCTTCCGGTGGATTTAGTAAATTTTCAATTTCCATTACATTGGTCACCTTGAATGTGGTGGGTATAATTTTCACCTCGGTCGGTTTGACACAATTCTGCAGCGGTCGATCGCCAAAGTAACGACATGTGCAGATAGGTGGCAGCTCTGCTTGTTTATCGTTGCTGCGCTGACATTGCGCTTTGCCGTTTTGCTCCAACTCCGTGTCGGAATGTCCTTTCGCGGGTGTGCCATTGACGTCTGTGCTGCTTGTCGCTTGACTGGATTGGCGAGAAAGGAAGAGCAGCGCATTTTTCGGCAAACTGTTGAAACGATTGCGTCGCTGTGGTGGTGGCGTATCGGCGCGCACTTCGCGTGCCCCCTGCGTGGCTGTGGAATAGCGGCGCCGATTTTTAGAAGTCATTTGTTGCGGTTTGCAAGACGGCGAAAGCGATCTGGAAAGGTAAAAAATGTTCGTTATTATATGTTTTTAATAAAGCCAGAAAATTACACAGCTCTACAAAAAAGAAATATCTCTTTAACGAAAATTTGTGGTTTAATAAAAGTAAACTTTGAAGATGGAGATATGTGTAGAAGTTCCAACAAGTGAGGAAAGTTCTCTGAGCGCCATTCACTGGGGATGATTCTTCTACATTTGGCTGCTCAAGCAGCTCACCATTTCCGATCTCAGACCTATGATCTTCTGTGTAGCCAAAATACATCCGCTTGAAGTCGAGCTAAAGTGAGAGGGCGAAACATCCACCTCCAGATGGTGTGCGCTGTATTTGGGACCTAAAAACCACCTACCGGTGGAAGTGAAAGGTTGGGTAAAATATTTACGTCGAAGTTATTTTCTCAATACGAACTGATTGTTTGATAAACGGGGAATGCACCGCTAATTTAGGTCAATTGTGCCATCTCCTAAACATCCAAGGAATCATGCATCCAAGGGCCTTAAAACCGCGTCTGCAGACTGCAGTGCAGTCAATTAGCAGGTATTCTGGTGTTTCAGGCCCTCTGTTGCAGAACCGGCAATTTACGCAGGAAGCTAGGTCAATGTTGTGTAAGCGCCTCTTCAGCTTGGAATAGCCAGTGTAAAATGCGACCTGCAGTCTGAGTTTATCTCTAGGGATGTTGATTGCATATTTCAACTTATTGAGGTTGTACCCCTCTATTAGCAACTTGGCATGCCGCATACCATTTAGCTTTTGCCAACGCTTCTTTCTGCCTAATCCTTTTTCCTTGCGGATCAGCTCCTTTATGGTATAGGGAATCGCCCCAGCGAAGTGTTCAAGTCCTACCATGTTAGTGGATATTGCGGAGCTGGCGAACTCATCAGCCAGTTCATTCCCGGCTATGCCTATGTAACCAGACACCCAGATATGGTGCACTTGGTTACGTCCCTACGTCCCGCTAGGCTATTAAGCCGTTCTCCACATTCCTGCACCAGTAGTTATTTGACTATAGCTAAGTATGGTTATATGTTCGTTGCGATAATTGCGTTGGAGGTTTATCTCTATGCACTGACTTATGGCAAAGCCTTCTGCCTGAAAAATTCTTAGAAAACGTGCATGGGTATGGAGAGTTTGGTGCGTGGTTTCGCGACTCTTGCACCGATTTGTTCCGACGTTTTCGAGTCGTCAGTGTACCACATGATCGTACTATCCATAAATAGAGTCTCGAGGGTGCAATCATTTCATTTAGCCTTGCTCTTCAGGCTCGAACTTTTAGTAATACTGTAATGGGCCAATGGTGTTGTACCACTTAACTCTTTCATGTGCTGGGACATGATTCCCAATAATTTTCTTTAGCGTGGAGTATGATAAACAAGCTCTAGCTGAGCGAACGTACCAAAAGTATTTAGTAAGTAAGCATGATTTAAAGGCGGTGATTTTGGATTGGAAGACGAAGAACATCCTGGATGGCCCAAAATCTTTGAAAAATAGAAGTTGAAAGCACTACTAGTTGAAGATTGTTGTAAAGACAAGAAAAGCTCGCAAAATTTTTTTGGAATAACTCAAGCAACCATTTCAAAAAAGCAGCCGGACAACAGCAAGAAAGGTGGTAGCCGTTTGAATGGAAGGCAAGAGACGTTGAAATATAACTTTACATGTCAAAAATGTTGTTTGAATTGATTTTCGCTGGAATTTGACTGTCAAATTAAAATGGTTCCATTAAAACCAGCCCTAAATTCTCAAAGATGTCATAGCTGAAACCTGCCCAACCAGCCACATCAATGGCAAAGAGAAATATCTATGACAGCAAGGTAATGTTCTCTATTTAGTGGGATCAGAAGACCGTGTTGTATTCTGAGGTCATCCCATTGAAGCAAGCAATTTTCGAGAATCGATCGAAATTTGCTACAAAACACGGGAACTTGGTTTCATTTTCAAAACCCGCTAAAAACAGTTTGAAAGACAGCGACCTTGTTCTGCCCAGCTCACAAAGGACAGAGTATCTAAAGTTTGCTTAATTTATTCTTGGTAAACAATTCACAAAGAACAATAAAGATGACAAAATGTTAAAACTTCAGATTCGCAATACATTGAATAATACTATTGTAGATGACTTTCTTCTACGAAAGATTTTGGCCCTTTAAGATTTCCTAGTGCTTTTTTCATTTCAAGAATTTTGTGCTTCTTCTAATTGCCACATTATTGAAACAATTTTAGACTCACGCACCTATGCCATGACTTCGTTCTTTTTAACGTTTTTTGCTCGCAGTTACTTTGAGAGCTTTGTGTCCACGCGGACATACTTAGCGTAAATGTCAATTAGCAACGTCGCCAAGGACAGAATAGGAAACATATTTAATTGTTGAAGATTTCATCAGCTTACGTGAGAAGTAGAATGCGAGAATGTAGCGTTAAAATGAAGATAGAAGAAAAAATCTCTTCAAATATCTGCACAGCAGATTTGTTCGAGAATAAATTTGTGGTGTTGGTGTTTTTTCTTTTTTTTTCGTTATTTGTTTGACAAGCTTAATATGAGTGGCGCCGCTAAGCAGTTATAAGTGCCACAAGCGCAGCGCCGCTTCCAGGACTTCAGTTTAGCTAAGGCGTTGAAGTTTTTTTTTTATTATTGTTGTTGGAGATTTTTTTCTGCTTGGCGCGGTGCAGCATAAAACTGCTTTCTACATTTTCATTTAATATTTTGTGCTTTTCGTTGAGAAGCACGCTCAACGCACAGCTTAAGAAGGCGATCACACACACATACGTATATATAAACACACATATTATATATACAAACACTCCCGTATATACACTTATATATTTATATATATATATATATTTATGTATATAACTTTATTTTCACGTTGCAATATTAATGCGAATGTACCTGCAACGGCAGCAGCTTGTGGCACGTGCAATGTGGCCGTCACACATTTCAGCTAAGGAATAAAACGTGCAGCAGCGGCAGAGGAGAAACGAAAAAACGCACATTTTCTTGCGCTTTTCAAATAATATTTCATAAGCGCGCTGCTGCTACAGCGAAGCAATAAAAGTGGCCATGCGAAAGCTGTAAGCTCCATAATGCGGAAGGCAAGTGAGTGAATGCATAATGGTACCTGAATGAATTTAGTGACTTTCTAAAAATGTCAGCCTTCATACGCTCTGAGAAAATGAATTATGCTGCACGCACACCTGTATATGCCTTTGTATAACTGTATATTTGCAAATATATATTTACATGCACACAGTCATTCTTTCATATTTGTTTTCTTCCAGCATTGAAGTAGACGCTTTAATTCCATTATTTCTCCTGTCGTTATTACTTGGCGCATTCGGATTATATGGACATACGATTTTAGAACATTTACACCAAAAGAAGTAAGAATTCTTTGCAATGCAAATCATTTAGTCAAAAGAGCGTAGCGAAAGTCGTCCTTCCTTATCACTGTTTGGCGTCAGTTGTAGATTCCAATTGTGGCCAGGTTTTTCTTCAATTGGTCTTTCCATCGGCGTGTAGGTCTTTCTCTTCCTTTCCTTCGATACTGCGGAAGATACTCTCAGAGCTGGATTGTTTTCATCCAAGCGGACGACAGGGCATAGTCTCTTAATTCGCTGAACTATGCCTATGTCGTCGTATTTCTCGTACAGCTCCTTGTTCTACCGAATACGGTAATCACTGTTGCAAATTATCATAAATCTTTCGCAGACACCTTTATCTCGAAAACTCGTAACGTCGACTCATCAGATGTTGTCATCCTCCATGTCTCTGCAACACCTGGCAAAACGGGAATAATGAGTGACTTTGGTTTTTGTTCGTCAAGAGTGGACTTTATTTTTTAATTGCCTACACATTCCGAAATAGCACCTGTTGGCAAAAGTTATTCTACGTTAGATTTCTTGGCTGTCATTGTTGTTAGTCTTAATGTTGGTTCCAAGATATACGAAATTATCTATGACTTCGAACTTATGACTGTCAACAGCGACGTGAGAGCCTAGTCGCGATTGCAAATACTGTTTGTTCGATGACAGGTGATATTTCGTCTTGCCTTCATTCACTAACAAACCCATTTGCTTTGCTGCCTTATCCACTGTAGAGGAAGCAGAACTAATGGTGCGGTTGTTAAGGCCAATGATATCAATAACATCGGCATACGCCAGCAGTTGTTCACTCTTGTAGAAAATTGTATCTTCGCTATTCGGCTGTGCAGCTTGAATTATTTTGTCCAGCAATATGATGAAGACGTCGGACGATAGTGAGTTGCCTTGTCTGAAACCTCATTTGGTATGGAATGGCTCGAAAGTGTTCTTCCTACCAAATCCCTACATAGCGTCATAAAGTCAGCTTGTTTTCGTGCTGTCAAAAGCAGCTTTGAAATCGACGAAGACGTGGTGTAGTCGATTCTCTTTTCACGCGTCTATTTCCAGAACTGGCGAATAGTGATAATCTGGTCAGTCGTTGATTTCCAGGCCTGAGGTCACTCTGATATGATCCAATTAGGTTTTTGGCCTTCAATCTGCCATCGAATGACTGTCGATTGGTCTTCGGATTGAAATGATGTAGCTATGTTTCAGCCATTGTCACATAGCGACGCAAAACTCGAGTTTATTACGCTTGAGTATCTCCAAACTCTGCTCCGAATCATCGACTTGGCGTTGTTTTTGGTCAAAAGTAAGCTAATGCGGCACCCACTTTGCACTGAGCTTACTCATTCCCAAATATTTGTGAATTACATGAGGCACACGTTCAGTTGATATCTTTAGAGCGTCTGTTTCCTCGAAGAACTTCACTTTGCGGTCTTTCGAATTTATTTTTGAACTCTTTTGATGCTTTGCTCGATAAAAACCTCTTTTGGGCGTCCACATCTTGAACCGTATCTAAGTATTTATACCACGGTAAAACTAGGTAAAGAAGCAAAGGCTTTTATTTAACAGTTACTGTTTCTCTCGACATCATCAAGTAAAAGCTTCTGCGACAACCTGAAGAACCATGTACTTTAAATTTG